ATTGTCACGTTACATTTAAAGTAGAGAGTAGTTCTCCTCTTGGCGAGCAAATCCCAGTCATCGATTTGTTAATGGACTATTTTAGAGCACGAAAAACAGATTTTGTTTACTCTAGGCTCTGGAGCACGTAGTTCTTCACAAATGAGAAAAAACGAAATATCTATATTATGTTTTTCAACTGTGGTTGATATATAATGAGCTAAGCCTAATGAGAGCTTCCCTCTTCATACCTGTAGTTGTTCTGTGATTCTTGCTCACTCATGTCATACACCTTTCACCGCACCATGTGCACTGTGTTCTCCGGCAGAGCAAACACACACCACGGGTCAGGAGCAGTAGTCAATATTTCTCATATTTTTCGACCTAAGGTGCTCCCGGCGGATGGTTATTTTAGGTTTTCAACGAAATTTCGGGCCGATCAATCCATATGTCGAACTATCGCCGCCGCAAGGGCTATACTCACGCACCCCATGGCCAAATTGATTGCGGTCAACGAGCTGACGGTCGATTCACCGATTTCCGTCATAACCGCTGTTCCATAAGTATATCTGCCCTCTCGTCGAAATACATCTTTCATTAGGCTAGCCCACCTAACTGCATATGGCTCAGACATTTTGAGCTACATTTACATACCATGACAAGACACGTGTGTTTACGAAAAAGTATATACCTACACGCAGAGCAATTTATTTACGTATGGGCATTTATGCGAATTGTGGTAAATATCGTGACAAATATATTTATACGCTGCAATTTATGCTGCAGACGAGATTTTCAATGTCGTACTAAATTGACGATTTATGTAATGGTAATGGTTTAAGTAATAAATGAAAGATGTCCTGAGTTTGTCCAGGATTTGTGTAACTAAACAACGCCTAGATATTGTATACCCTTTGGCGCTCTATACTGTGCGCCGGCTGCCTGAATTATATATATATATATGTTGTATATTTGCTTTAAGCATCGTTTCTAACCTTGTGTCTGTCTTGAATGTCTCATAAAGCTGGCACATCGTATTTTCCATAGCACTTGTTCAATCAATAGACATTCTGTACAATATCCTTTCGGGCCATGTGCAGTCCTTAGTCTAGAAATCATTTGAGTTCAAATGGTCCGTTTTTAGACCAAAGCGCAGCCAAAATTTATGTTCGAAATAACCTTCTGCCGAGCAGCCTATTGTAAGTTTTACAACTTGCTATGAAGATGAATGAATTTTTCTTTTTAATGAAACGTTCTAGTCAGCATATGTCATGTATCAGTTTGAAAAGACTTTTTGCTGGGGCAATATCTAACATTCCACGCAGAGCCCTAGGTGACTCACCACATCTCGATTACGTACTGTACTTCGGCGTATAACTTATTTTGGAGATTAACTTACTGTGGTGAATATTTCTGTGCTTGAGCTGTAGTCACAAAGAAGTCGTATATACAAGATCACATGGCGACAAAAGATCATAGAGCATCAGGCGAAGCAAAGAGTCCCATTACGACTACTAGTTTACCATGCCGCGGGGCTTGCGCCGTTTACTATGCAAGCATGAATTTAAAATAAAAATTAAGGTTAGACCGTCATTACCGTACGTAATGAATACGTACATATGAAAAACGACTTACGTTAGCGTTACTATTTAGGCTTTTGCCTTAGTTCTTTAGTGAGAGATAGGGTAATACGCACGACTAAACACTCCGATTTTGATGTACGCGTGAAGCTCAATTCCGACGGCTGGACGAATGTGATCATAGACGATGACAATGTTGGTTTCTCACTGACTACATTGTAATTATTTATGAGGTTATTCAGTCTTAAATACAGATGAGGGCGTTGCTATTATCGGGAAAGGCTTTACAGCATAACGATGCGTCAGCATATTAGGACTAAGCATTACTAAAATGAACGTTTTTCTATTTACCCTTAAATTTCAGATAAAAATGGAGAAATTTCACTTATATACAGGTACTATTGACTTCAGGTAAGTAAGATACAATATTTGAGTCTTTCTAAGCATCTAGGTCAATAGGAAGATACCTGTGAAATCGTGTAGATACATGCGAATCGTTCTGTCTTGGAATATTGGCGCGAACATGGGCATGCAATCTTGAAAGTTAACTAACTTTTAAGGAAAAAATGCGACATGAATGAAAATCACTTATTGTTGGGTCTTTTTGCACTGGACAAACCCTTACCAAGATCAAAAACTTTAGTCTAACTTAGGCCTACGTTATCGCCACTTTTTATGCGGTTCCTTAATAATTAGTTAGTGAACAAAGCATATTCATGAGGCAAGTCCACAGAATCCAGATGTAGTTCACTGAAATGGTTGAAAAAACCATATTTAATACACTTTTTGTATAGATAATTAGATATTAGCGACCGTTCTTGGATAATCCAAATTAGCTTCAACGATTAGTCTTTTCGAGGTACTTTATACCCTTTTTGCACCTTTGGGGTTTCTGGCCTGTTATCAGCCCAAGACTTTTGTTGATGGTTGTTTTTTTTTAGATAAAGGCTTAGAAACAGCCCATACGATACTTTCAAATTTTAGGTATATATATATATATATATATATATATATCCAATATTAATGAAGTCATTCTATAGTACATGCAGAGAAACGCTGTACAAACGCATATGTAGGAAATCGGTAATGTTTACACAACATAAATAGCAAGGTAAGAAGTATAAAAAGCTAATGAACGTACCCGGAAGTTAATATTACGGTTTTCTGACGAAAATTCCTTTAGCATTTCCGCTGACCATTTTCCTTTCGTTCGGACCACTTTATCCTCGTCCTAATTGTATTGTTCATGATCATTGATAGTGTCCATCGCGTTTCTATTTCCCGTTCTTCTTTACTATCTGTGTTTAAAACGTCAATGTTAAGTGATGTCATGGTTATGTAAATTAATATAACTGTATCTAGACACGTGTTTTCCGTAAACGGCCCGTGACACAAAATGATGTTCGTAATACATGTTAATATAACGATGTAAAAAATCAGTCGCCTACATGGATCAGGCGTTATTGCTAGTGGCTATGGTTTAGCCATTAAAAAATTATGACATATGCAGGAAGGCAAGGGCTACTTCAGCTTTGGCGGTGCAGGCCAAATAGCATTTGGTCAGAGGAATGATTAAACATTGAAAAATTAATTATTTAAAGATGGCGGAGTTGTTCACAACCAGTCCAGTAAATACGATGTAAAACGTTATGTAAGCGGCTAGAGCTAATTAGATTTCATTAAACTTCGGATAAATCTGGAAGATCTAAAAAAAGAACTGGGGTTTTGTGTTCCGGAGAAAAACTTCTGACGTTTAACAACACGTACCTTCCCGAAATACTTGAGCTTCGTTTTTACTAGAATTTCGAGTTCGCTTTTTTCGGGTTGTTTTTTTTTGTTGTTATTTGCCTCGTTTAATTACCCGAAGTTGGTCAATCGGAACGTTTGGCCGTCAAATACGTACGTCGTTCCTTGTTACTTGTTAGCAGTTACTTGTTGGCTCCTTATAACTTCCATAATCGGAAATCTTTCGTTTTACACTATCGAAATTTAAAGTATCCTCGTTTTTCGTTAATGGTTCTTAATGTTTTCGTTATTTTAGACTGCTGCATTACAAACCACTTTGTCGAGAACGTTCGCCTTGCATTTTTTTACGCCATGCAGCGTCAACATTAACGCCAAACGCCAGCTTCTGTTCCATTTTTCTTCTCTCTTGCAAGTCGGGTAGTATATGAAAAGGGGCAAAGAGGCAAACAGCGATTTATATGCTTGGGACATTTCTGTGTATGTATCATAGTGAGCGGTGTTCCTGTATCATGCTAAACGAATGCTAGAGTAGGTCTCGAATGGTGGACAAATAATTTCGGTACCTTAAAGGTAATATTTTTATCAGTTATCATTATGTTTATAAATATACCTGTCGGTTCAGTTTCGCGTTTGCGAAAGATATGCTTTAAATTTGTTGCGTTCTGCTTTTTTCATTGAACGGAATTTGTCGATCACAACAAGGTGTTCAACAACGTTTGGCGGTCACTTTGCGTGAGGGATGGGGCAAAAGTAGGCTCGCAATAATGTATGAAAAAAGAGTACATTTACAATATTCTTTGTCATCTTCTTTTTCTGCTGCAGTCAGATTTGGCCTCAACTACGAATTTATTCTTTTCCTAATTACAAACCTATCTTTTCTATAACTTATGTCGGCCTACATGTAGTGCTAGATAATCGTGTTTACGGAAAATTTCTAGACGATCTACGCTTTAAGTTGCAAAAAATTTTGTTTCCATCTGTAATTCTCAGGATGTCACACCTTGTCATAATTGATTTAGCTGAGCGCAATTTTATGTTCTAAATATTAGTTTGTGAATAGATTGATTGACTCATTCCTGCCGTAACACATACATTTACACACATCCACGTTAGAATCCGTCTGCTTTGAAATATCCTTGTGTATTATTTTTTCCTAATATTTTTTCGTGTTATTTCTAAATAGTAAAAATACGTACATTGTATTTCTGTAACCTTTGTCAACAATGTATTTCATATGTGCTATCTTAAAAGAGACAGCAGGCTTGACGTATGTTTCACAACGAGCCACATTATGTTAATCGATCTGGGATGAGGCACCTTCTGAATATAGGAAATCGTTCTGCTTTATATTTGAGTTTCATGCCCCACGGTGGTTACGGTTCTGGCTAAGGCCATTACCCAAGCTCGGCGACTGTGATAGGATAGTCTTGCTTATTTAATTAATCATGTAAACTCAATCGGTGTTCCGTATGAAGAGTAATAGGTTTAAAATAGGGGAGAGCAAGAATCCTTAAGTTTCCCTAACGAGTATGCTGCCAGAGCTGTCATTCGTGTTCACCCGGAGAGCAAGCCATAACACCAATGGAAAAGGAACTCGTTTTAGATAGATGAGGTTGCAGCCATAGTAAAAAGTAGAAGCTTGTGCAGCACTAGTCGTCCGTCTGCTTGGACTGATATAACGTTTGCTACGCTCACCTTCGATAGCGTTCCCGCATGCTGGTCTCTGGCCTACTAACTTGCTTAATTTCCAATTTGCACTTTAACTGCGTCTTTTTGATCGTATCAACTAGAGGCTTTTGTACTTCACGCCACTATCGATATAGATACGTGTAGCCCTGTGTCATTATTTCTGGATACCGGCTCCTGATGGAAGAGGCTTCAATCCTGTTGCTTAGAGCTGGCTTAATCAGCTTATCATGAGACGACATGTTTCAGTCCAACTGAAAGTGCAAAAATAACATATTAGTTTATATATATATATATATAATATGTATCGCTGCCAACCTTGATTAAAAGGACTGTTTTAACAAACTGTGCACTTATTCCGGCTCGTTCACACACACACACACACACACACACACACACTACAGAAAAAATGCACTTCAATAAATTTAGTCGTTTATGCACAATGAATTTACAAACATTGTGTAATTGAGCAACTGGTTTAAACGATACGTTTTGCTGAAGCAAAATACAGTTATGGTGACAGGTGACCCAAACACGACGGCACCAATTAGGAGACAATTCGCTTTTTCGCAGCTGAAAGAAAAGCGATTCTGTGCTAGACGCCAGATCTAGCATTACCACCAGCGAAAAGAGTTCTGCAGTTGTCCGAAAGTTGCCCAAAGCATATACATAGTGTCACGACACTATAATAGTATATATGCAGATCCAAGAACCCATTACGCTGCAGCTTTTATTTGCTACCGCATCTTGCATAACAGAAATATTTTACCGTCCCTACTCTCTGTATGAACGGGTTAGTGATACTAATCCCTTCTAAAATTGCCGTAGGCATGTTAGCCGTCGAAAGTAGGATGAGGTAACCAGTCTTTTCATCCCTGACCCTATCCACACACACACGACCCACTTAGTCATATTCTATAAGCATTAACCATGCATGCTAAAGGTAAATTTTCAGATATATTGACCCTCAACAGTTCTCTCGATACGTTTAAATCCATCATGACGCATGGCGCAGATGGCTAATACTGCAAGATGTATGTATAAATATTTTATAACAATTTGAACCTTACGTTACATTTCTCTGCGCTTATTTTACGTGTCATATACATATGGCTAGATTTATGGCAGAATTACATCTGAGTTACGTATGAACATTAAAATACAATATCCACACCTTTCTTACGGAGGAATTACCTGATCCCATTTCCGAAGCTCTGATATAGTAACCAACAAACAGATCGGCTGACACGAAGCCTTAATAACTCTTAAGCCAAAACGACTTACACCCGCGGCACACCAGAAGCAGCCTTTTATGATTCCATGACATAAACCTGGTCGCTCGTAATTGACAAGGTGTATAGGTAAAAACCAGTGACAAAAAAGCTCAAAATATCCGCCAAAAGGTACCTTATGAAGAGTCATCGTAGAAGGTGCCTCAGGTTAGACTTTACAAAAAGTAAAAAATTTAACGCGCTTAACTGCATCCTCAGGGTTAATTTGACGTATGCCGGACAATGGCCACTGCGAAAGTTATCCTAAAGGAAAGTAATGAACGTCATCTTTTTTTAGTGTGTTATCATCGTTACGGGCCCACGTGCAGTTGATGGCCTGTGTACAACATTCAGCATTCAACAACATATCGCTTCAAGTGTTCTTCTATTAGACCTACTGTTAACCCGAAGAGGTCGATAATCATTTGCTTAGAAATATGGCAAATATCAAATGGTGTCCTGTTCGAGCGCCAAATACCCTTGCGCAAAAAAATGTAGTTCGAAGCGAAAGGCCAACAAGCTGAAAACAGGACAACAGACGGCGTTGTTAGAATCTTCCCACTTTACTACTAGAGCTGAGCGTATGTTAGCAAGAGCTAAACAGACGGTCAGGATGTGAACAAGCATTTACTTAAAATCTCTAACACGCCTATCCTAAACAGCGCGCTTTAGGGCAAAGAAGTACGTAGACAGAGAGGGAAATATTACTTAACGCACCTTGGTTTCGCTGGCCTTCGGCCCATCCGCCTTCAGTGATTTACAGTACGCAGCTGCGTTAATCATCTAAAATAGCGACCCACTTTTTCGACCAAGCTAAGCCAATCTATGGACAATTAACCTGAAGTAAGTCGCAGTGGTCATTTAAATCCCGAGTTATTATTGTCCGAGTGGCGAAAGGTGAAAACATGGTGGTTCGGGTACTGGCACACTTTATAAAGATAGCGGTGTATCCGAATGGAGTATTGCCTGAGATGTGTGCATACTGCACCATGCTGTGTTCCTTAAATTACAAATGACAGCTCTCGGCACTTCATGTAACCGCAAAACGTCAAGCTTTAGGAACCTCAAAACGTTTACGTATTTGATCCCTAAAAAATCGCACATGCGTAAAAGGGATTAGTAGCATATTCCTCTGAGAACCTTCATTTGCCATGGTTGTCCTGCGTCATTTCCACAAAACTGATAAGAAATACTGATGAGAATTTATAATTGCAATTTATTTCCTAAGGTAATAGCATAATATCAATCATTATCATATTTGATGAGAAACATGATGATATTTTATCAGCTAAGAAGTTAAATACACCCCAATATACTATGAAGATTAACCGGCTGAGTTTGTTCCTGAGTCTCCAAACTCAATATATTCTGATGCCTCATTAAACAGTTTTGTTCCTAAAGTAAGAGGCAGAAACAATGAAGTTTGCTTTGAGATAAGGCAAACAAGATCTATTGTTAGCGGGATAGATCACATGACACCACGTCTCCTTTCGTTTTCACAATCAAAATTTGTCGGCAGCAGCTGAAGTTCGTGAAGGCGTGGCTGAGTGCCGTCTTCAAGTGCATTTTGCTTTGTATTAGAACTCTGGCATCATTGCAGATACCAGCAATTGCCCCGTGCGCCTACCAACCCCCATTATCACACCTCTTTCCTTCCTTCGTTCCTAGTTTTCCTTCGTCCGTCCTCATATTCAGTGAGAAGGCAGCAAGATCCTGCTAGCGACGGTCAACCATCAAATAGAATTGCATAGCATGAATTCACTGTGTCAGTCTATGTGTGTGTCAGCCTGTGTGAGCCGCCAGCTAGATGGGAACTCTGAAAGCTTGATGGGGTACCACTGTATAGGTCGGATGTCCGATAGCGTGCGTATTATGTATAGCGCATCCGACTCAGCTTGTTCGAGTCTCTAGATGTCTGAGTTTGGAGGCCGAACCAACCAACCAACGAACGATCTGCAGAAGTCTCTCTTCGTCACTCTTGCCGGCGTCTGCTCTAACAAACACGTTTTCATAGCAGCAGTCTGGTTCTACAGGGCAACTAGCGTGACAATCTGTTTCTCGTTGGCCCGCTCCGACGCAAGAGTCTCTGATCAGCTCCTAGGTGATGCAGGTGTGGTGTTGGCGGACGAAGCGAAACGTGACAGCCAGGAGGCGCAACAACAGCCTCCTCCCAAGAGCCCCAACGAAACGAGTGGAAAATGGTGACAGTCAGCTTCGCTTCACCCTTTACCGGTCAGGAGGATGGCACGTCATCATCAGCATCATCACTATTGTTACAAACATTCCTCTTCAGTTTGCTTGCGACGGGCGGAACCTTCCTAGGAACTGACGCGCAAAAGACAGCGGCATGATCATATAAATAGAATGTCGTGTGATGCTCTGCCTATCGACGCCCGGCTATCGTAGATCAAGACACATCGCTCTAATAATCATTGGTCCTAATTTCAGACTCTATTCGAAATCTGAAATGTACCATTAAGAATGGCAGCGGTCAACTATAGGGTTGCATTTTTTTGGCTATAAACCGTTCAAAAAGTTTTCCGACGGGACACCAATATAATTCTGCTCGAAGACTACTACCCTTCCTCAATAAGTACTTGCGCCGCCTCTATTCCTTCCCTTTTATGTCGAGATTCCTCTTTTGGTGCCAAAGCAATGCAAGATTTACGCACAACTCCCATGTTACCACAGAAATAGATCGGAACGTGTCATAGCTAAAATGTCGGCAAGGGCCTTAGGAAATTTCCTTTCTCTCCGTAAAATAATTATTGCTCGTTGTGGTAGGTTAGCAGCGCAGAGTACTCTGTTCAGCTACTATATGGGACCCAATGCCAGCCAATGCGGAAGGGAATGAAGGTCCAAGACTGGAGCTTAGGAACAGTGACTGGTAGGAAACAGGAATGCGGCCAGAGTTGCTACCGCGGACGAGATGCTACTGGTTTTGCCATTGAAATTCACGGTGATAGTGTAATTGCGCAATCTACTCTACATACTACCAACATTTCTAGTATTGTTTCCCGTGGTATGGGTAGAATCGAGTCACGAGCCTTTTTTAAACAGCGTCAAAAAACCTTTTACGTTCTCTGCAGTTTATGAGCTAGCTATTCAGTAAAGCTCTGAAGGGGCAAGTAAAGGTAATAATGACTATATTAAAGGCAGCAGTAACCTTATGTAACAGCTAGGTCACATCCACAGGAGGAAACAGGAAAGAAAATTGCTGCCAATGCATAGAGCGGATGGTGAACACAAACAACAAGCTCAAGCCGTCATCGACCTGCTAACTACAACGGCCGAAGTGCCGCCGTCGGTGGACGCATCAGTGGAGACTGACGACTTTGCGAAAGTGAACGACCGTCGACAACCATACGAAGGTAATGGAGTTGCTCTTCTTACTGGCCTGTGGGGACCATGTGTCTACGCTAGTGCGTGTACGCCCCTTCTCTACGCCCCTACGTGGTTACTAGGCCTCAGTTGACCAAAGCAGACCACGGCAGCCAGACCAGCATAAGAATACATTAGGAATGGAACTCAACAAACAACCCTATCTCGGCGTCGGTTTTTCGCCTTCGTTTTCTGGTTTGTTCGCACTAGTTGCTCAGTCGCTGCCTAACTGCTGCCGCCGCCGCAGGTCTTCCTGTCTTGTTTTCTGCCCGATAAGGCCTTCCTTTTGGTGCTACGATAAACGGTTTTCCGGTTACTGGACCGCTACGGTCGCTACATAAAAAGTACCGATAAAGAAAAACAGGAGCAAAGTAAGAACGGGAGCGGGAGAGAGGCGGATGGAAGCGAATGAGATGTGGAAAGTGCGGGGAGAAGTCGTCGTAGCAAGAGTAGTAGAAGGACAGCAACACAACGGTTATGGTTTAGTGACATCGGTTGCCATTGTCGTTACCGCACGAGAAACCTAGATGCTTGTTGGAGGGCAACGGATTAGTCTGTCGGACTACAATAAATGGCTATATGGAACTCGAGCTTTCATATGG